ATTGCTATTAGGTTGGAGGCCATCGCCATTAGGAGGCCATTGCTATTAGGTTGGAGACCACCGCAATTAGGTTAGATTGCTATTAGGTTGGAGGCCATCGCCATTAGGTTGGAGGCCATTGCTATTAGGTTGGAGGCCATCGCCATTAGGTTGGAGGCCGTTGCTATTAGGTTGGAGGCCTCGGAGGCCGTTGCTGTTAGGTTGGAGGCCATCGCCATTAGTTTGAGGCCATTGCTATTAGGTTGGTGGCCATCGCTATTAGGTTGGAGGCCATTGCTATTGGGTGGGAAGCCATTGCAATTGGGTGGGAGGCCATTGCTATTTTAAAACACCTGTCCAGGTCAACTTTTGGAGGTTCCACATCGAAGCGTGAGTGAGGTTTAGTCTTTCTCTCCGTTGGGTCCGACCGAGTTAAAACAAAGGTGCCAGGAATCATCCGCTGATGTGCCAGAGAAGAACCTCTCCACAGTCGCCCTGAAAGCTTGCAGAACTCTTGAGGCTTGGTGAAGGTAGAATAGTTGCATCATGTTCCACACATTTACCCATTCATGTTCCATATTACGATACATGGTCTGGGTTTGTGTTTGGTCTTCTTACCCAACTCAATCCTTGACTTCCCCGGTTCCCTCATGTTCCCTCCATCACTTCGTTGACGACCCAGGCTGATCCGCCGTGGTGACCGGTACCTGGACGCCTCCGATGAGGCGGTTGTGGGGCGAAGCCGATCGAATCTCCAGCAGCAGCGCTTTGTGGTGTGCCCCTACTTGAACTTCCAGGCAGGTTTCGCGTCCGGTCGCGTGTCTGTGAAAGCTTGCAAAAGCAAAGGCCTCAAGCAAAAGTGGGCTGGCAGCGTACGAAAAAAAGAACAAGTTATAATTAGAAGAAATAGGATGAAATAGGACATGCATATCCTACTCAGGTTTGAGCAGATCATGATGTGATATGTTTTTCAGCCGTCTCGTTCCGGAATTTGGTGGCCATCCTTCTGAGGGAACGGGCATGCTTCTGTTTCCGCTGGTGGTGGACACCGCGGTGCCCTTTTGGCGTTCCCGAGCACCTCGTTTCAGTTTCGCCTCACTTGTTTGCGAGGTGCTCGGCTCGGACCGAACTCCCGGTTGGGGCGGTGGTCGGTCCAGAACCGTCCCTCGCAGAAAGCACGCGCCCCTCGGTCCGGTGCCCCGAGTTCACGAGGACCAAATGTTCACTCTTCCACTGCCGAGTTCAACGTTCCACTAGAATGGAATCGAACGGATTAGAGACGCGACGTGCTACCAATCGCCCGCGCGGTGGTGCACTCACTCGCCGGCTACAGGTGCCACCCGGCTCAGCCGATGAGAGTTTTCCCATGAGGAAGAACGTGGCTGGAGCTGCACCGAAGTGGTCACGCTTCAAGGCCTTAAGCTACGAGAGGTTTACGGGTGTTTTCACCAGTGCTCCTTTCTTTATGCTGGTCATGTGGCATGGTCGATCTATATACATACTTCGCGAACCGCAGGGATGGTATTTTAGGAAACACCTTGCCTGGTCATTGTGATTGCGTTTTCGACTCTTGATCAGCATCGCCGGAAGAGACCATCCCCCCCTCCAGTCAGTCGACCAGTGTTTGAATCAGTCGAACCAGTGTCCAAGGGAGTCTTTTGGAGAAGTTGCTTTTGACATCTTTTGACATGCCTTTTTCCTTCGCTTCAACTCTTGCCGTACACCACTTAGAAAAGGACGAAGGGCAGAGCGGTCGGGGCGGTCGGGGCGGTCGGGGCGGTCGGGGTCAGGGCTGGGATTCTTTCCCCGACGATCTTGGGAGCTTTGGATTCTTGTTACTAGTAGCTTCTTGTTCCTATAGTAGTACGGCTAGGAGCCCCTAGTAGCTTCTTGTTCCTAGTAGTACGGCCAGGAGCCCCTAGTAGCGTCCATGCTCCCAGTAGTACGGCCAGGAGCCCCTAGTAGCATCCACTCCTAGGGGTTCTTAGGACTGGAGCTGTGGGCGATGGCCAGATGGAACGATCTAGCCTATATGATCAGATATAGTCCTATGGCTCTAGGTATGTTCGATTCATTTTTGTATAACGGCCTCCTGTCCTTGCAGTTGATCAGAGCACGTGTCAATCATTCATCCTTCCAAAGCTCGCTTGCTCTGAAACCAACTTGGCGTGAGAGAGGAAAGTAAAGCTGAACCGTGGGCCGCCATGGGCCACCATGGCTTCGAAAAAGAACGTTTGTTTTGCCTCCACTTGATTCAGCATCTTGCAAATGATTGCACGTGTCCCAGTCCCAAAGTTCAAGCAAAATGTTTGGAAGATCATGCACTCTCAAGGACCTCATGGCGACATTGACCACGAAGAAGAGAGGCCCCGCCCTCGCCCAAGGTGAATACGGCGACCTTTAAAGGCATGGCTGTACGCGACGGGGATGCCGTCTGCCTACTGGTGACTCGGAGGACTCGGTGTGGAATGGAGTGGTCAGCCGACTGGTGCTTTGCGACGGTCTAGGGATACATATGTACACATGTACCCAGTTATGTACCCATATGTAGCCTTCCACCAGAAACCTTCTTTCATCCGCACATGAGATCCAGACTTTTGAGCTCATGACTCATGAATAATGAATTACAGTGGATGGTTGCTTTACCCTGAGGCTTGGGCTTGATGTGCGTCTTCTTGTGCAATTACAAGCACTGTATATCGGGATTCCCCACTAGCTTTTCATTTACTTTCACTTCCTACTAGGTGCTGTCTCAGCGTTTTGTGCGCTTTCTCCGCGTGCGCTTTTGTGGTGCACCAAGGCCTGCAATGGCTGCTTCGTAGGCATCACCAGTGAGGTGGGGCTGACCACCGCAGGGATGGATACTTTGGGTCTGTTTTCGGGCTGGGTAAAACTTCTTGATTCACCAATAAAGAACGACTTCGCAAGCAAAGCCAAAGTGCGTGTGCTGGTTTCAAGCCAAAGCATTTGGGTCAATCTCTGCTGTTCGGAAGGGGGAAGTCAAGCCAAACCACTGCCAAATCATCCTCGTCTTCCATTGGGTTCCATGCTTTCGCTCTCGTTTTCGTGTTCGTCCCGAGCCGGCAGCGCCGGCGGCAGCCGGCCACGTGTTCGGAAGGGTGGAACCCATGGACGTGGAAGCGGAAGAGACCCAGTCTGTCAGTGATTCAACACCCCGCATAGAGAGAGAGAGAGCTCGCCACGGATGGGAACTATATTAAACATATATATAAATAGTCACTAACTAACATATGTGTGTAAGACCATAGTTACTGACCACATAGACTGTAACACATATTACTTGCTGACTTGCACATCTATGTAACATATACTGTAACTCACATATCTATACTTGTAAAACATGTGTGCACTGTATAGTCGATCCCATGGGTTGGAGGTGCCGAAGGTAAGAGTTGGTGAAACCGGTGATACTTTTCGCGGCCCGGGCCTGAAAAACATGGGCTCCACTTGGAGAAACTCTCCTTGTCACCTGGTAAAAAACACCTTTCTTCATGAATTTGGTGATTGAAGGTAGATGCCTGAAATCTGATGCCTCTTCTGGTGCAAGTATTTGATGGTCGACCCTGTCGCGAGGTCGGTGGGTCAAGAGGCGACCCTGCTTGATGAACCATTCCCGACCATTCCCCATTCCCAAGAGAGAAGGTCCGGAAAAGCCAGCCTTTTCCTGTTTTTCTAAGTGAAAACGGATTCACTGACCGTGCATCTTTGGAACTTAACCCTTCCAAGCGGATTCAGAACTGCAGGGACCGTGACCCTATTTCTCGTTCTTCTGCTGTTCCATTGGCCCATCATCAAGGATGACGTGGAGGAGTCCAGCCTGGCCAGCGGCCGTCGGAGTGTGACTTGGTGTATACTCAACTGGGACGAGGGGGACGGCGACCTGGGGCAGGTTTCCCCCCCCGCATCCCTGAAGGGGTCTGTTTCGAAAGCCTAACCACCACCTGGTGAGGTGGGGGAGTCCATTTTGTTCATTTCCATTTCCACACGGAGGGTCTTGGCCAAGACTCCGCGCCTTGCATTCTGTCCTCATGCACCCCTTTGAAGTCAGCACCCCTAAAAGAAGCAAAAGTCGAGGACATAAGTCAGTGCGAGAGGCTTAAACTCCCCCAACGCACACTGCTACGGGGCTCCTTCGGGCTGCATGCTCTTCCAAGCTCTTTAGCTACGGAGTGCTTTACAAACCAAAACAAAACAGCTGCTTTCAAACTTAAAGCAGCTTAATTCAGGCAGCAAAAACAAGGCCAACCCCTGGGTTGCTGACAAAAACCGGCAGAACTTGAAAGTTGTAGGTAGTCCATTGATCCTCCAAAAGTGCAATGGTATTCCTGCAGGCGCGCGGCCCGGCCGGCGCCACTTCGCCACAGCCCGGCGCAACATCGCACAGCGCCGCCACGAACCCGGCTGGCCCTGCGAACCCGGCCCGCCTCCACACACGCGATCAGCGCATGGTTTGCAAGGGTGTCAGGTGTGGTCGTTGCCGAGGTTTTGAAGCAAGGACCTAAGGACCTGGCACCCTCATGGCCCGCATGCATGTATTCTTGTAGTTGCCGAAGCACTGCAAGAAGGAATTCAACAGATACCACACGGCGCCTCCAGTAGCACATGCTCTTCACGGCGCCTCACCGCGCGCAGAGACTTCAGGCAGTCGCCGAAGCGCCAGTTCGTGCGCTCTTGTGTGTCAACGACTCGTCATTCTGTCCACTGGACGTCTCACGTCGGAAGTGCGGCAGGCAGTGCGGCAGGCAGAGTATGCTCCAGCCATGGCACTCGGCGCTCACGCTTTTGGGTGCGAAGCCATCGAAAAGCACAACTAAGCTTACTTCGAGGCTTGCTGAGGTGGGGCCTGAAAAGTTACTATATATACACATCTTATTCTTTTGGCAGATCTTCTTTGATGGGCACCGGCTTGGGGTCAAGTATTTGCTACTGGGCTTAAAACCGCGCGTGTAGTGAAACTGATTTTTCATACAGTCCTTTGGGGGGGCAAGAACACACACAAACACACGCATTGGAATATGGCAGATGGGGACACGGGGGGGTTAGGGGGGAGGGGGGTGAGGGGTAAGTTCCCCAAAGTGGCAGTGAAGTACACAGGACCTGATCGATAACACAAAGTAAGACCCTCTCTTGTGTGTCAAGTGTGCGAGCGGCGGCGAGCACACTTTTCTATGGCACGGAGTGCAGTATTGGGCTTCAAAATCTTGAGCCAAATGAATTAAGCGGCAGCTGACTGAAGAGAATATATATATATATATGTGCAAGTAACTACGGACAACAGGTGCCACACACGTACAGCGTAGACACGCCTAGGGAGCCTAGGACCCTACAAAACACAGGGGGGTTGGGTGGGCGGCTAGTGATGTTCATGTTGCGTGCATTTTTGTTAGGAAGCCACACACGCACACGCTGCGGAAGAGGGGTGGGGGGGTTTAGGGAGGGTTGGGTGGGGGGCACCAGAATAAAGACGATCTTCTGACGAAGCTGGGTCAGAAGTTGTCCCACAGACTGTGATGATGATGCTGGAGGATGAAAAAGCGCGCCTTTTTTTCGCACGAAACCACAGTCTCGTAGCATTTCGATGTCAAAATCGCAACGATTTTTGAGTTGTTTTCATGTACTACATGCTGCAACAAACCTTTCAGATCAATGCAAAGCACAGTCACACACCAGACATTCGTCATCATTAACCACGTGAAGGCTTGACAAATGTCTTCAACTGCACGCGCGGAAACGAGCCCGGCGGGAAGTATTTGACGTGAGCGAGTCGATGGGGTGTTGTTGGATTCAGCAGCTGAGGTTCGGCAAGGAGTTCCCCCGTGGGGTGAGCTCAACACTCGTGATGTCTGATGGAAAAACCCATCAAAACCCTCCTGTTTGTTTCTGTGGATCATCCACAAAGACGAATCCGTGGGGGGAAAACAACACACACAAAACACTTACCCCTCTATACCCTTCAATCAGGTGTGTAGATGAAGGGGCCTACCCTCGAAATCTCTGGTGCACTGTTCTCGGCAGTTTGGAGTACGCTTGAGTCCTGGAACGTGCGTGGCCGAGGTGAAGGCCGATTTCCCAGACATCTCTCCGCCCTGCGCGCTGGTGGTGCGGAGCACTAGCCAGCAGAAGCAGGTGCGCTGGCTGTTGCATGTGTTTTTCTTTTCAGTGGAGATTGGGTCTAGTCCGGCAGTTCGCCAAACCGTATCCAACCACCAACCATCCACCAGAAACAGTGCGAAAAACCGGATAGATGGCTGGGGTGACCGGACTGATGAGTCAGAGCAGCGGACGAAGATGGGCACAGTGGGATTTGGCTGGAGAGAGTACCTGTTTTGGACAACCACCAGGGAGTTAGGCCTCGAGAGTCCGAGATGAAGCCACCCTACGCGCGCACATCGCCTACTCAGATGACAAACCCCTGCTTCAGAGGTCTCTGAAGCAACTGCAACAAGTGGGGGCTCGGAAGTGAATGGCATGGTCCCTGAAAAATCCGATCTCTGAAAACACGCAGCCTGAACTGTTTGTTCCAAATAAATCAAGATAAACGATAATGAGCTCCAGTCAGTTCCTGACCTGTAAAGTAAACATCTCCTATAGATCACCAACGATGTTAATAAGGGTCACCAGTCAGTGCACATGTGATTGTCCCAGTGCCACACATGAAACATGACCGAAGAAGACGCGCCACTGTGGCAGTTGGTTCCAGATGTCCAGGTGGTGAGGTTCCGCTTGGCGACGTGCCAGGTCCTGGAGGGCCAAACCATAGTCCTGCAGAGTTTAGCATCGGCTCAGGCGGCTCGCCTGGGATGGGCCGGCTGATGGGAAACGCGAGATTTTCGCATTAATAAAAACTTCTCAAAGATGTGGTGTTTTTTCCTTTTAGGAGCTCTCTTGGCCAAACTGGCTAGTCTGTGAACTACTTCAACCGGATGCTGGCCTGAAACAACCATGGATTTCGCCGGTGGATCTTGTGGTCTGTTTGATGCACTATGTTGTTCATGCGACGGATCCGTTCAGGACTGCCCGGACGAGCACCGCACGAACGGAACCGAACAGAACTGAACAAGGTAACAAGACGGTCATCGGCAGACGTGGTCCTGAGGTGAGAACGATCGCCGATCGGTGGGTTTGGTGGATGTACCGACCGACCTTCTTCCAGGGCGGTCTCGCGTCTTCCTATTTTTAGATACACCATGACACACCCATATCTAGTGTCTCCTCTTCCTGGACCCATATGTTCAAAGAACATTGGTTTGGATAAGGTCACACCCAAGCCTTCTTTCTACACATTATGAAGCTGTGAGTCCCATTCTGCGGCATGATGAAGCGGAGAGCTGGACCTCCCCGAAAATGCTTGAGTTGGTTTAACCATTCTAAAGATCCATGGGAAGGGGAAGTGGCAGGTGCAGTTCAGTGGAACCACTTTTTTTGTGTCAGCCGCTAGCCTTACAAGAACTGTCAACGCCGAAGCGTCACCCTCTACACACCATCTCACCACTGCTTCCTACAGTCACCTGCGGAACTGGTCGTGGCACGCGTCACGCCCAGGTGCTTTGCTTTGATGAGGGCCCTGCTACCATGGAGGCCAAGCAGAATCCGGGCGACCTACGACGGATCGGTGCCCTGGACGACCAGGCACCAAGAACGTTCAGAAGCTACGACCGTGAGTCGGGGTGCTTCTAGTTGGCGTTTGGGTTTGGTGGTGTCGCTGACTTCGACACCTGACGTCGAAACGGCAGAGTCCTGACCGAGGTTTCCAAGAAGAGCACTACTTGGTCATTGAGTCCTTGCCAAAGCCCCGGCGGTGGAAGGTGCATGGTGCGTGTGAGTGTGGCCCTGGGATGGACCGGAACAAGGACGAATTGAAAGGGTTCCAACGAAGCAAGCACTCCACCTTTTTTGCGATATTGGCTATTAGGTTGGAGGCCATTGCTATTATAATGATCTAATATAAAATAGTATTTGGATAGATATTATATTAATCTATATTATATAGATGAGTCTACTCCACCACCTTTTTTACGATGTTCTTCGAACACGTGTCGCGCGTGGCGACCAAAAAGGCCGCTATATATGCCTCTTCGGTCCATCCGACCTCCTGGCATCTTCTTTTGGCTGAAAAGGCTCAAAGATCCAACCGACGTGCCTGGCTCAGACTACAGTGGTCTCAGATGGTACAGACCCCAAGATATCCTATAGGGGGTCCATATAAACCACCGACATTGGGGTCTGTGCCATCTACTCTCAATCCACAACATATCACGAATTCGTACAACTTCCCCACCCTCTACCCCCAAGATCGATCCTTACAATAGGAGAAACAGGCATTTCATACCATCTTCACATCCTCCAGTCTCTTCACAAGAACCACGTGTGGAGGCCATTGACAACTAATCTTTGTATATACGGTCTGTGGGTCCTGGGGGCACGTTGGTTTCAATAATTCCACAGCCCGACTTTGCTGGTTAAAGGCGTGTGGCGATACGAGCCGGGAGCCAATCAATAGCCAATAGCCCATCTTCCACGGATCGTTGCATTACTGTACAATATTTTATTTTACAATGGCCAAATTTGGACCCTTTCCAACTCCTTCGCGACACCAGAATCACCGCCTGATCTTGTTTCTTTGGTTTCTCTATTTACTTCACTCGTAGGTGCCCTGGTGCCAGCCATCGACCGGTGTCTCCGCCGGTATCGCTGGTCTCGACCACAGGTGGATAGCATTTCGTTGGAAGGGGAACTCTTGAAGAGCCCAGAAGTGGGTGTGCGGGTTCGCCATGCCAAGGAGAATCCGAGCCAGGTCTGAAAAGCCTGTGGATGACTCTCACATGACTACAGTCCTGAAGTGGGGAGAAAACTTGCAGGGCAGGGTAAGTGCAGTGACATGGTTCCTCTTGAAGCATCCCAAATCAGATCAAGGCATCTGCGGAAAGAACCCGTGCCCAGCGTGCGGAACACGCGCTGTGCGGTGTTCAGCACCGCGGTTTCACCGCCGAAGTTGCGGCGGTGTGGTTTGGTGGTTTTTGGTTGGCGACGTTCGAACGTGAGGAGACCTCCAAGTATGGCATGACCGTGGAGGCCGAGGTCTTGGGATGGGTGAAGGTCAAATGGGACTACGGTCAGGAGGAAAGCTGCCGCGTGGGAGCTCAAGGGCCCCTCGGCTTAAGCGGAGCGGAAGCGGAGCAGCGGAGATACCGTTGGCAGAGACAAACACAAAAAATACCCTAAGAGACAACTTCATCACAGGACTTGAGACATAAGGCTGTGTTTTCGTCTTCGCGCCATTCGGAGACCATGTGAGCTTGTGTACAGATGGCCACACACTTGTATGGGTTAGGCTTATCATTCAATGTGATGGCGGGGTGTACGGTTCTGCTAGAGTTCTTGGGCCGATTTTGAGATCGCACATGCAATTCTCCAAGGGTGCACAGTTGACCAGGTCAGCAAGGTGTCATGTTCTGCAACAAAGCAAAAGAATCCTAGTCCAAAGACCCCTGTCCCTCATTTGCAACCTATGTCCGTTCAAAGTAGCTACTCGTATGAAGAGGACTCTACATGCCTTTTGCACAAGAACGCCTCTGAGCCTCAAATGCCCTTGCTTCTTGATGCAATTAGTGCTGAGGAGCTGTGACTTACTGGTGATCTCCTTGCCCTCGTTCACTGCCACCGGTGCAGGCCAGACTACCAGAGTAAGGTTTTCCTAGATGGGCCTTTGGTATTTTGGTCAATTTTGTATCCTCTCGAGTTTTTTGCAAGCCCTGATTGGTTCGGATTGGTTGTTTGGTACTCTTCAATATTGTTGATTGGTTTGGTCCAGAGATGGACCTAAATACATTGATATTTTGAGTACTTTGCAAGGTTTTGGCAAGCTCTCCTGGGTTTGCAGTCTTCTGTTGTATCTTTTGTGCAACCGTGCAACGTGCTTTTTCAGTTGCGACTCCTTGGATTGGCGGTATCGCGGGTATATGATATATGGGTATCATCAAAAGGTTCTGGCATAGGCAACCGTGCTCCTTCTGCAACCGCCTTTTCAAGTGTTTATAGTTTTTGCATCCGCCGTTTATCTAGAGGAGTTAGTTCATTTTAGACAACTCATTGATACTGTCTCTTGCGCAGCTCCTGCCATAGGGAGTACTCAAAACGAGCAGCCCTAAAAAAACTAATTTTCTGTAAAAGGACATGCTGTCTTGCCGTGAATACTCATTCTTTCAAGGTGGCAGCCCCAGTAGTTGTTTGTGCACTTGGCTAAACAATGTCAACATTTTCTAATACAGCCAAAAAGGAATGTTCGTGCTTATGTTTGAGACGTGTGTTCTCGATTTAGGATGCGGGTTTCAATGTAGGACGTTGGTTTCTTTTTGTTAGACTTATGTACCTCAAATAGTTTTTGCAGAAAAAATGCGGCATAAACAAAACAACAGCAACTTTACAAGTTAATGAACGCACAACCCTTAACAAAAAAGGTAAAGAACATCGTATAACAAAGCAATAATATAACAAGAAACATAAACACTGAACAACACCAAAAACGCAACAGACCAAGAGCAAGCATGCATAGATTTTAGAAGGACATGCTTGCTGGAGGTCAATTCAACTTGATTGCCGTGTTTCTTACTTTTCTTTTGTTCTACTATGTTTTTGTTTTTTCCGTTTTTGCTTTACACAGTTATTTCGTTTCTTTGAGTGCGTGGCTGCCCCGGGGAACATAATCTTAGACAATGTCTCCTGAAACTTGTGACAAACAGGCGGACAAACGGGCATTGGGATGCAGGGCCGTTTATGAACGAAGACTTTTGGATCTTTTGGCAAAGCATGGGTGGATTGGTTTTATGATACAAGACCACAATTGCAAGAGATTCTATTTCAATTGCAGGGGGTGCAGTATGTATGACTGACGTTGGGACAAGGGTTGATAAAACTCTACTATGATCATATTGGGCTAATATTGGGATGGGGTGCCTGTGTGTGCTCCGGCTTATGGTAGAGCAAGGCTTCTTTTATTACACAAAACGCACCATTTTGTGTTGGGGGTCGTAGGAAGACATTCCTTTATAACGATTCTATTCTAATATAAGGGCGGTAGAACGCTCAGTGTTTAATGCATCAGTCTTGTGCATCCTTCTTTATTTCATGCGGTAATTTTGTTACTGTATACTACATGATATTAATTGACGTGAAAACTGTTGCAAAACCCACAACTGTTCAACAAAGTGTCTTGGTCCTGGTGTCCATATGTTTATGCTGGACAATTGCAGCAGTTTGTGCCTTATAGGTACCACAGGTAGCAATGACATGAATGTATGTATGTATATATATATAATATACACGACGTCACGACATACATATATATATATAATCATCATTTTATACAGTATATGAATACATATACACTAATACACATAGCATATCCTTGGAAATCATTTGAACCATCCGAATCTCTAGACTCCACTGACGTTCCGCCTCCCAGCTCACAGGCCGTGCAGGGGAACGTGCCAATGGGCGTTACGTGCGTGTGGGCTGTCACAATGGGATGCCCAAGTACCGACAGGACACTGGCTCGGACGCTGGGCCGAACAGAAGTGGGGGGTTTCCCAGCGAGAGGGAAGGCCAAGATTTGGAAGTTCGAGCTGATGACCCCACGTGTTTTAAAGTGTAGTTTGGATGGGACTTGATGGTTTGTTTATGTTTGTTTGGAGGTCAAACACACGGCCAGGCAGATGAGCAGTTGGCAAGATCATCGTTTTCCGAGTCACGGCCAAGTGTTGAGAGGGTCAAAGAGGGCTGGAAACACCAACTATATGCTGGAGGTATTCTTTTGATGGTTTGTGAGTGCAAGCAGCCCAGTAACACGCGAGCTCAGAGTGACACCAAGTAACGCGGCAGGCGCAGTGTGTGCTGGCGTCGGAGACACCAAGGCCATCATGTTCTTTGAAGATGACGGCTGGAAGATGAACGTGGAGGACGATACCAGGCCATTACGTGCCACATTCTTGCATCGTTGTAAGTAGCAGAGGGACAGGCACGCCAGTGGGGCAGGGTCATTTGCCCAGTCGAATGGCTGAGTCTTTGGATTCTGAAGCTTACGCAGGGTCCGGCCCAGCGCATTCAATCGCATGGCCGCATGGCCTGGTGACGTGCCAAGTTCTTTCAAGTGGATACCTTGGTCTAAGGTTTGTCCAACCACTCAGGAAACACTCTGCGACTTCCTGTAGTAAGTCCTTATTCCTATAGAAGTGGACTGCAAGACAACACCCTTTCCCATCGTTTTGACAAATTTAAACTACGTATATATTAATATATATATATATGAAGGGGGGGTCATCATAATATATACTATATTTTGTGTTTACCTCTCCTCCCGTCCTGCTGGAAGGAAGGCTTTGGATTTTTTCTATCAGATGATTCATCTGTTGCTTGATTTGTCCTCTTTTGGGAGTAACAACTGTAACAACTCCATCCTCTCATCTCCATTCACCTCCCATCCGCAGGCAATGGTGTTATCAGCACCTGGACGCCGCCTCCCCGCTTCCGCCCCTGGGCCGCTGGGCGACGGCCGTCGGGAAGCGCTGCGAGCCCTCGCCCTCGCTGCAGCCAGCGCCGGCGCAGGCGGCAGCGCGCGTCGACCAGCGCGCGTCGACCAGCGCGCGTCAGGGGCGCGAAGCGGCGGGCGTTCGGAATCGACGGATGGAAGGGAAGGGCGGACACTTGCGATGGAAGGGATCCAGGAAAGAGGAACCATTTCAACGTATGTTGAGCAGGTGAGCAGTTCGTCGTTAGGGGAGCATGGCGCGTGGAATGGTGAGGAAAGATGAGGAAAGAACGACTTCAGAATGGAGCAAGTCAGCAAGTCGACCAATTCCCCAGTAGAAGGGAACGCAATTGATAGGGCTACAAAGAGATAGGTTATTCACTCTACAAACCTGAAGTGCATGCCCCCCTCAAAAACAACCACAAACCTCAAAGAAGGCAACTTCTTGCAATTCAATGCCTTGCATGTTCCCATGTTAATTTTTCAGACTAAATCTATGTTGAAGGATAGGCACGATTTCCAGCCACCTTCCGTTTACGCCAAGACCCTTTGACCGAAACACGTGGAGACAGCAGGAGACACTTCTCTAAGGTGCAGGATAAGTACACCCCCGCAAACTCACATGCAAACCTGAGGATTGACCGGTGGTTTCGACATGTTTCGACCATGTTCCAAATACCAACCCGACGTGGTTTTGGGGTTCCATGTTTGGCCGTGCCACAGACAGCTCCAGATGGGATGGGAGGACCCCTCCGCCGCTAGCGACGACGCCTCCTTTGCGAGTCCCGGAGTGGTTTTTTTTCTCCGTGACCCGGAGGGCAAAGAAGGGTTGGGGTGCAAAGAAGTCCGCAGGTGCTGTTGGACAGGATCCACCAATTCATCGGTGTTTTCATCGGTTTTCTTATCGTATTTTTTCGTTGGATGGAATCAACCAACTTATCCTCCATGTCTTCCTGCTCTTTTATTTCGCCAGTGGGAGGAGAACACCTCTATGACCAGGAACCATCATCATCCACTATTAATATCTGTGAATAGCAAGACATCTACCCAACCTGAATCCAACCCGACCTGTGTTGATCCACTTCAACATGTTCTTCCTACCCGTCTTAAACATCCACGGACCGAGGTTTCTGTTTGTCATTCCGTTGAGACCGACAGACGCGCTGCGCCTACCCGCGCAGGTGACCGCCACGGAGCTGACCGCTAGTCCTCCAGTGCCGTCGTCCAAGGCGGACCGAAGACGCAATGACGGTGCCGGAAATGAACAGCTCAGTCGCGCATGTTCATAAGGTGTGACTTGGTAGAGTAAGAGTAGGTGGAGTCGTGTATGTTCTTTGATCAACATTGATGAACTCCATTTGATAAGGTCAGTTTCGGAAGTGTGAAGAAGGACACTCACTCAGAATTGGTCGGCAGGGTCATGCGGAGTTGGCTGGCGACTCGAGAAGATAGCAGAGAGTTGCAGGAAGTAAAGCATATTTATACAATCATTGTTTGCAGCTTCCCCCTAGCCTGCTGATTTGATTGTACACTCCAACCAAGCATGTAAGGTGCTTCAATATAGCCCTACCCACGATATTCCTTATTGAGTTCCTCAACCTCCACCAGTTCCTGACAACGTTGGTTAGGGGGAGTATTCTGTTTGCTGTATGATTCTTCCATGCAGTGAATAGTTAGTCCGAGGTAGGCTACTAGAGAGGCGATGGAACATGATCCTTGGTCTTGTTCCAAAAGCGAAACCAAACATGTTTTGTTTGGTCGGTTGAACCATGAACATGACGCAAATCTTTCCCGCTGTGACCCGACCAGCGGATTCTATTTCAGAGGACCTTAGTTGAACTGTTCCAGGGCTCCACAGGATTTGAGTGTTCTGAATTTTGGGCCTTGCTCAGACTGTAGGCAGGTCCTTGGTTGGATGGACGGTCCACCAGTTGAACTGTGTGTGTGTGTTTTTTGATGTGTCGTTGATGCCCAGGTCTTTACCACAGGTGCTGAATTCATATTTTCGAGAATGAATAGATTACTTTACTTCGAGTGATCCCCACCATGGCATTATACTCTGGCATTCTATCTAGGATATTCTCTGGCATTCTATCTAGCATACGTTCTGGCATTCTATCTGGCATATCTTCAGGCGTTCTATCTGGCAAATATTCTGGCATTCTGTGTCTTATATTCTTGCATTCTATCTGGCATATTTTCCGACATTCTATCTGGCATATATTCTTGCATTCTATGTGGGATATTTTCTGGCACTCTATCTAGCACACATTCTGGCATGTATTCTGGGACTCTACCCGGCACATACTCTGGCACTATCTGGCGCACTTTCTGACACGTTCCGGCTGTGCCCACAACGAGCTGGAGATCTCCGCCTCCGCTCTAGGGGGGCTGCTGGCATTCGTGGTTGAGGCCCGGCGGTGCCCACTGTGATCAAGCGCTCACGGTTGAGGGCCGTGCCCACTGCGATCTAGCGCTTGCGGTTGAGGAGGGCGCGGAGGAGGATGAGGAGAAGGAGGAGGACCGGCGGGGCAGGCTCTGACAAAAAGCTAACAACCCTTATTTGGCAGGTGGGGAAATATGGAAAAAGCATGTTGTTGATGCTCAGGTCGGAGGTGTTGGTGCATTTTCAATCCACCGTTCTCGACTGATCTACCAGGTTGTGACAGGAGAAGCTCCCTTGGCGCGCTCCCAGAGTGGACCACTGAAGCGGAAGAAGGAGCGTGGGAAACAAACCCCAGTTGCTGTGGAGGTTGGTCCTGAGGTTCTGAGTCTGAGGTACAGTAGTGGACAATTTTTTTTGGCGATTCTTTGTGGAAACTTAATCAATCCTGCCCCTGCCCTTTTGAGAAACCAGTGACAAAGGCTATTTTTGGCCGCAGTTCATGTGGCTTCCAGATACAATGTTTTGGTGGCAGATCTTCATTGCCTTTATGCCACTCGTCACTCACCGGTCGTTTGTGTGCCTGCTCACTGAGTTTCGGTCGGCAGATTCAACCACACAGCATCATGCAATGGAACCGAGTAGCTGCTAATGGTGAAGAGATGTGCACAATCGTGTGCCTCAGCCACAGTGACAGTCACACCAGCAGTCAAACAGGTCCCACTAGCATCTTCCATCAGTTTTGTGGAACGGTTTTGGGACACATCGAATATTTCCCTGATTTGGTTTCCACGGGCGGCATCTACTCTGTGACATTTGACGCAGTTTCCAACCTTTTCGCACCCAAACAATTTTTTTAAACATCCAAAACCAGGAACTAATTATGCACACTAGGAATTGGTTATCATACTGCTATCCGCATATTCATGAATTTGTGTCATTGTTCGTCTATCAGTCCATATCAGCCCTTTGTCAACCAATTTTTACTCCACGGTCCATATGTTCTCGGGTAGGTAGGTCGAACAAAACCTCCCAAAGACCTCCACAGGAGATGGTCGAGTTCCCCTTGCCGCCGGCCCCTGAGCCGATTCGCCTGGGTGATGTGGTGTCCCTTGGAGTTAAAGCCTCAACTGAGATGTCGAGAATTGAACAACAAATAACATGTGTTTTTTTTGCTGGAACCAAGCTGGAAAGTTCTGCACAGCTACTTTTTTGGTCAGTTTTGGTCAATGCATCAAGCGATCAGTTTGTGACGGACAATTAGTTTGCTTTTATCTCCAGTTCAGACACTTTTCAAGGCATCAAACAATATCAAATAAAACCAGCCAAAAGGATGTCTTTACCTGGCTGGAAGCGTTTCCGAGATCCCTGTGAATTGAACATCTTTAACCTGGTTTCTTTCATGGCTAGTCCATGGCTAGTGAGCGATGCACTAGTGTCTGCAGATTTCCATGGGCAACGGCTCCATGTCGAAAACAGCCCCAGCAGGACTACTCACAGGTTCCCCACTCAATTGCCATGCAGCCAAAAAAAATAGACCCAAACACGCTCGCTCGCTCGCTCTCCTCACTGCGTGAACAACGCTTTGCGAGATCACATCTTTCAGGCTGTGCGCTCTCTCTAAAGATACAGAGGTGGGTCAGGACCCGAACTAGTTCGCCTATCCCAGTTCGGTACCCCAGCAAGGTCCTATTTACGGTCACTTAACCTCTCTTGGTTTTTCTAGCGCAAAGAAGGCAGTGCTCTCGACTAATCCGAAGTTCATGTCCAATCATGTGTCCACCAGCTGTGAGGTATCTGCGGGGCAACGGCCGGTGGTTGGAGGTGGAAGGTGCGACGGTGAGTGCGCCCAACGCCAGGTGTGGGCAGGACGGCAGGAATGGAGAGAGGCGATGAGTGTGGTGGTCATCCAAAGAAAAAGGATATGAATGATGCAATGATGTATACAAATATCAAGTATTTACATACACACATGCATGGTATAATATATATATATTTGCGCATAGCATGTATATATTTGTTAGTTTTGCTTGGGGTCATTTTCCACGTGGGTGAATTTCCCTTTGGGCCACCGGGGAAGATGTTTTTTCCCCCGTTCCTCAAGCAACGGAATCCGACAAGGAATCCTCAAAACCATTGAAGACAATAGTTTATGCACGTTTATGCATTTGAGATGTTCCAGAATCATTCTGACCTGACGTTGGCTACTTTGCACAGATGTGTCCTTGTTGAGGTCTTGGCCAGTTTAGTCCCACAACCCAGGGCACCCACACCACCCGGGCGTGTCCTTGAAAACCCCAAGCCGCACCACGGGCGTGAGCACGTCCCCGGGTTTCAGTCCACAACATCAAGTCAAACCATGAACGAAGAGTAGAGTTCCTTTCGCAATATGCCAAGTAAACCCTCTTGAACGTTCCCAGACCTTCGTTTTCGTGTGCCTTTCTGTGACATGTTGTGACTTTCTAGAGCGAGCATATTCTCGGCTTCCAGGAATGTCAACGCTTCGTGGTGTGCCCGTACTTGAACGACCACAAGGACGACCGGTGGTGGTGGAAACACCGCAGTTCGCCACAAAACCCGCTCCGGAAAGAAGGAAAAGGAAGGCAGGCCAACTATCCCTTTGGAATGGAAACACCCTTTTTACCATGGGGGGGGTTCATAATCCCTAGGGCTCCTAGCCCATCTCCTCAGGTTCGGTGGTTAGACCCCCTATGGCACCCACCCCAGTCCCACCGAACCTCAGGAGGTAATGAAAAAACGCCAGACAAACGAGAGTCCTCACATCCACTAATCGCAGCGATCCATCCATCCGGATGGATGGGTTGGACAGAATCGCCATTCTACTCACCGCGAACGGTGAGTCGGTCACACGCCACGCGCCCTGGAAGTCGGTTCATCAGTTCGTGATGGTTTGCATAAGCGGCTGAAAAGGGTTCAGAGACGGCTCACACAGGACCAGGGACACCCATGGGCACCCAAGGAAGACCCCCATGAGAAATATGGATCTCCAAGCTGCGAGTCCCTGACTGTAGCCATCCATAGCCATCCAAATATGGCATACAACATAAATATGATACACCTTCAAACAGTCTTTCGTGCACGGATGAGACTTAGATCGTTGAGATATGTTGAGATCATCCCCATTCTGTGCAAAAGTCAGCCAAAGATGTCGGGTGCCATGACGGAGCCCGGGTGTCAGTGAGTGGGTGATGACTTCGTCACTCGACGAAATGCTTTCCTTAAAAGGTCTGAAATCCTTTGAACACCCCTGCGAGGGAGCGAACACGGGCAGGTGGAACCAGGGAACAGGTGGCTTCAGCCTCAGCTCTGCCAGAGATTCCATTTCACATAAAGATAGGCCTGTTTGCTTCGGGCATCCATTACCAACCAAGGTTTCATGGATGAATTGGATGAAATCATATGATGTTGAAAATGGCACTCATGCACGTAAACCACTGTCAGCTCCCCTCTCAGCTTCGATGGAGGAGCCGGACCATGCACAACATGCACCCGAGAAGCGGAAGCTGGCCACTCGAGCGACATGTTTCGCGAGCGAACGAAGGACGGATGCGGTGATGATTGAAACATTCGCCGCGGTGTGAATTCGGATTTTTGAGCATTTGGATTTGGATTCGGAGTATCGTAGTTCATTATTTTGATTCGGAGGAAGCAACTCTCAGGTTGGTCGATGACCCTGGATGGGTTGTCCGATTGTCCCTGTCAGGCCCGGCAGAGCCAAAGGGCCTGGCTGTGCGGTTTTTCCGTTTCGAAGGGTTTCGCTACGGGAGGCAGGCCGTACACGGGAGGCTGGGCTCACATGGATGAGATCATGGATATTCATGGATGTGCGGCCTGTACCAGTAAATCTGCAACAGTCGGTTGATTGGACTCTTACTACTATATTAATCTACATGATCTATATTACTGTTTGAGATGTCGGCCTGGAAGCTAACCATCATCATCAACTGGGCCCAGGGAATGGGATGGACCGTGTAGATGTACTACATGGTTCCCCTCTGTTTCCGACCTCTTCGCGTCTGAAGAAGAGTGTTTCCACCGGTGTCCACCGGTTGAAACACCCGCCCTTTTTTTATGTTTTTTCTGGATCGGGTGAGGGGTTGGAGGCGAGCGCCGCGAGCACCCCGGAGGCTTCAAATGGGAAAAAACCATTGAAGCATGCAGAAGGCCATGAAGTTTCAGACTTGTCCTGCTGGGTGGACCTCCAGGATGGACCTCCGGACTTCCATTCCAGCCACGAAAAAGGTCACTGGCGCCGGGGGAACCTGTTCAGACCACGTTTCTACGAGGTTTCAGCTGTCAAGGTCTAGCTTCCACAGCTGTCTGTTCCGGTGGGAAGAGTTGAACCGGTCCGGACCGCTCAACGTCTCTGAGTGGGTCTTTTGACCGGGCCGGACCCAGCTTCACCGCAGAGAGCTGAACGACCCCCCGCTGAAGCTTTGTGATAGTTCTCATGAGCCAAATCGCCAGCTCAGCATCCGTGAAGATGGTCCTGAAGCTCTTCCGTGGTTTGTTCCCCCCTACGCCCTCCTTAGCTCCTTTTCTGTGCGTAGACACGTTCCGCCAAGGTGAGCACGAAGACCTTTCGAGGTCGAAAGGTGAAGGATGGCGATGCCATTTGCTTGATGGCCTCCCGATCCCAATTCGGGTACCATACCACGCCCTGGACCGGACCCGGACCGGTACCGGTGCGGGCAACGGGTGGTGGACCCGATGGGTGAAAACGGGGAACCAGGCGGGGAACCAGGGGATGACACGGATGAACATGCGTGGAGTAGCTGTGGAGGAGCCGTGGAGTATGGAGTAGGGGCTATGGTTCTTTCCAATGAATCAACATGACCCTAGGTCCTCTACGGCCTCCCATTAGGGGGTGAGGGTGTGGAGAGCTACTTGTCCGAGCGTGTGGTGGGAGATCCAAAGGAAGCCAGGTCCTCGTGATGGATGGGAGGTGATTTGTTCAGGGCAACAATGGAATCCAAGGATGGCACTTGTGGCGAATGAGGCTCGGAGGTGGTGGTATTTCCTTTTAACATGTATTTTTAGTATTGAACAAAACTGAGAGAAGTGTTTCAGAGAGCTTGTTGTACTTTTTTTCCGTGGAGAGGGAGGGAGGGCAAAGTTTGCGCCAACCTGGGAGGTGGACTGCTATGTTTTAAGGGTCCAAACTGGGTGGTCTTCCAGGTCGAAGATTTCTAAGCACATGATGTGAAGCTTGATTTGCATCAGGCGGGTCTGGTAAAACAACAGTTGAACACTTGCTGGACACATGCTGTGGGTATTTCCTTGTAAGCCAGACAGGGTGACCGAAGCATGGTCAAATAGCCTTCCTCGAGTCGAAGCTTGAGTAGCTTGGGCATCCCGGATACGTCATTGGTCCATTCAACTGATCATTCTGCCTGGAGCAAACGCCCGTGGTTACATATGGTTACATACCTCATACCGAGTGTGAGAGGGTGTCAGTCCTGCATGGATCAGTGTGGCCTTCCATGTTATCATTTTTTGAGGGTTTTCTTGGGTGGTCCAATCCCATCTCTCATCTCCAGTGTGTGCTCAGCAAGCCAAGGCTTGCACTGGATGCTTCTTGGGCATCAGCGGGACACAGGCACCATGCTAAACCTTCTGGAGTCTCACGCGTGAACATGTTCGGCCACATCCGCCCGCAGATGATCTTGCGAAGCCTTGCCACTTTGCTCCAACCAAGTGGCCTCCAAACAGAAACCTCTGGCCTTTTCTAGCTTTGACCCTGTCCAGGCCGAGGGCGGCTCGGTGTCCCTCAGCGCGCACGGCCGGCGCTGGGCCTCTTTGGCACGAAGACCACGGGTGGTCGGACGGGTTTGGGAGGGAACGGCGGAGGGAACGAGACGGGGCGCCTTCTGGACTGTTGAGGCAGAGAGTCACACAGCTTCTTCTTGGGCTCTGGTTGCTATGATAAGTACGTGTATGATCATGTATGATAGTGTATGTTTTTTTTTTTTTTTTTCCGAGACCGGGGAGGTGGATTAGATTTGAGGATGTCCGGCAGCGGAGAGATGATAGCATAGCCTTCAAGACTCAACCCTGCTGACTCTCCGAAAGTCGTGCAGCCTTAAGGAGTCACACTTCCCATATATCCCTACCAGCGGATGTAGGGGAGCTGTTCTCTTGGTGAAACGTCATCTCGATGACTTGGTCGTGGGTTCTCCGACCACCGCGAACGCCGCCGTGGTCGTGGTCGGGCGGGTCTGTCCCGTCGATGGGGACGGACCGGCAGGATCCGGCAGGTCGCTGGGGACGTGGTCCGTTTCAGGTGAAGGCAGATTTCCCCAGCGCCTCAGCGGCCTGCGCCATGGTGGTGAAGTCCAGTAAGCCGCGTGGAGTCGCGCGAGAGGCACGATGACGATGGGAAAGTGTGCAAAGGTGGAAGCATTTGTCAGATTCAGAAGTTGAATAATCGGGTGCCTTCATTGATTTCTAGCCTTGGGCTGAATCAGGTGATCATCTAAGCTAGAATAAGGAAGTTCGGTTCGTCCAATTCGTTCGGTTCGTCACTTCTTCCATCGTCCACCCCGATGGCGCCACGGTGCTTTGTTTCGCCGAGTTCGGCGGTTTGGCTGGGGAGGTTTGTGAGGGCGAGCCGTTCTTCCTGCAGAGCATGGCTTCCTCGCAGGCGGAGGGAGGTTTTTTGTATGTCGAGGGAGGTCGAAATCGAGCAACTTTCGGAGTGCCCCACCACCGAGAACTGAAGACCAGAAATCATGCTCCACCCAGACTGACCAGGTCACCACGGAGGTCTCACCCCAGACTCGCAGGCGGAACTAACATGGTCCTTGCTCCAACTACTTGCAGTATCTTGCAGCCACCCTCCTACATCCGATGTCAAGACCTCCCACCCGGCCAGCTGTTGGTGGCGGACGAGAAGGTGAACCTGGCTGTCATGATGCAGCCGAAGCAGGCGCCCGGCGATCTTCTGGCAGGCGCAAGTCCGTGGCGCAAGTCCGCCGGCCCTCGCCCACCTGGGACCTGCTTGGGGGGAAAGCTTCGTCTGGGAGTGGATCTGAGTGGATGGTCCCAGGCAGATCAGCTGCGCAACAGGTGCATATCGGGATGACTTAATGAAGCTGCGGTTTCAGAGAAAGGCGCACCACCCTGCTCCAAAACGATCATAGTAGCAAGATGCTACTAGTAGCTCCTGGCCCCGCTAGTAGTAACAAGAAGCTACTAGTAGCTCCTGGCATCGCTACTAGTAGCAAGATGCTATTAGATTTGGAAACACACCCCCTACAGAGGCACTACAACTACTGGATGTGACATGATGTGGCAACGTGTGGGAGTGGGCCACTGGACATGCTGAAACTCGTTGCTCCAGGGCCCCAGAAGCACCAAGAGCTGAGCTTCAAGAAGGTCCCGAGGAGCCCGTCACAGGCGTGTCATGCCGTCCTAAAGATCAATAAGTTGAATCAAGTTGATATGTCTCAAAATAGGAGGGACTCCATTCATAGCTCATACCTTTGAGTTTGTCATTGCTTATCCTTCTTGGTACTTTGGGCACGCCGTTCTTTTTTCCCAAGTGACCCTCGACGTTTGGCGTACTTCTATTCTATGAGCACGTGTTATAGCATGTTCCCCATCGGGTCGTGTCGCTCGACACTTTTTGGAGACCCAGTGGATCCGCTTGATGGGCACGTTTTTAGACGTGAAGACGAACGGACGACCTGAAGATGAGAATTTGGAAGAAGCTTCATACCCAGATATCACCAAGAAAATGAACAGAATCGACTACCAAGGTCAACCTACCAGGGTCCTAGGGTTTACGCTGGTCAAAGACCCCACAGCCATCCTCTCACCTGAAGAACAGGCTCGGGTTTGGTCGCTTTCCTCTCACCGTGGCGAAGTCGACATCATTTGACTTCGAAGTCGAAGCCTCTCCAGGCGAAGTCGCCAGACATAGTGGTGCCCCCCCAAAAAACGATGTGCTTTTTGCACGGACAGCGGGACAGCGGGGTTGTAGAGACGGGTGGTCCGGTCCACCCAGTGGTCCACTCAGGAATTGGGGCAGTCCACTAGTGAAACACCTACTTGACAAAGTGGAGTGATGTGGACCTACCTCAATTTTCAGTGGACTTACTGGACCTTTTCTTCACCTCTAACGCCCAGACCGCCTTGCGGCTCACTGGGCAGCTGTTGAAGTGGCCAGAGGTGGGAGTCAAAGTCAAACACCTCGAGGACGGCAGGGTGATTTGCCTCGACCCGCGAAGCGTGCAGCGAAGTGGTCGATGATATGAGGGCGTGAAGGATATGAAAGTGAAGGGTTTGGCATGTGAGTCACCCCAAACCCTTGTAGGTTGACCATGTCACGTAGTCTAGTCTGTTCATGAGTGGGCAAAATCCATGATCCCCAGTGCCATGCCCAGCCATATTGTGAAATCATGCGAAGGAATTGATTCTCGATGTGTTCAGACGCCTTGGCCTGGTTGGCCAGCGAAAATGAACAGAATACTTGCAGGGAAGATTTTGTGGTGGGGTCCAGCTTTGGGACATGGTATCTTTTTTCAAGGGTGGACATGGGTTTTTGGTGGTTTTTGGAGATGGACATGACTGCATGACTGGTAATATATGGGTTGTAATATGTTAACTGTTCACCTGTTCATGTGTCGAAAACGAGGAATGGGTTGGTTTTAGTGGCGTTTTCGTGTGTCACCAGTGGCGTCGCCACACGTCTCTTCCACGGCGCCTTTCACCGAGAAAACGCCCACATCTGCGGACGTCGACGTCGACGACTGGACAGCGCCTTCCGACCTTCGCCGAACGTCGCCGGGGGGGAGACCCCAAAGAAGTCGTGGGGAAGCCCATGAAACGCTGTTTTCTTTTGACTGAGCAGCCTCTGAAGAATCTGAAAAAATAACCGTTGGTCACATCCGGATTCGTCTCTAATTTCTTCAGAATCACTGCGGACCACTGCGGATCAGTGGGCCGAAGCTCCCACCGACGGTGTGCACCGGCCCAACGGGTGGCAGGAGCCGGAGAAGGGCTTCGGCCTCACCGAGGTTTCAGAGCAGTTGGGCTTCCTCAAAGTCTGCTACGAGAATGGAGAGGAGACCGGGATGGAGGGGGAGAGAGAGAGAAAGAAAGAGAGAGAGAGAGAGAGTGAGTGAGTGAGTGAGTGAGTGGGATCTGTGATGAGTTGGAACATGTTGGAACAAACATGGTGGGTTTTGAGAAACCCAGAGCCCCCCCTCAAAAGCCTTTGCCCTGGTAGGTTGACCATGTCAGATTCGAACGGCAAGGGTCGAATCCCCCACCCTCGAACTAAGGCACGAACGGCGAAGGTGTTCCTTTTCAGTTGGTTTTTGGAATGGCGAGTCCTGGACAGACTGGTGTGGCTGCCATGGCCCTGACACCCTAAAGGGCTGGGTCCAAAGACATCAGTGATCAACGAGTCAAAGAGGGTCTCAACTCTGGGTTGTGAGGGTTTTGGGGAGAAAGATTCTCCAAAAAGAGGTGGGAGCGCCATTTTGCGTCATCTCACACCAGAATACAACAATGCAGTTGGCACGGCTGCATATCACAGTTTCTTCACTTGTTTTTTTCTTCAAGGGAGTTTGGGACAGAAAGCAGGCTCCCGTCCTGCAACAGCGCAAATCTAGCCTCAAGCATGCCAGGAGAGCCTTGGGCGGGTTGGCGCAGATGGGAAGTACAACCTCCTTGTGACCTGGGCAGCAAATTTCAGTGTAGCGAAGAATCCTTTTCGAACTAGTCCCAGACAATCCATATGCCGAGGTTTGGCGGGGAGGTGTTTTATTAGTCAATGGGGCAGCATACATGGCAGTCCCATGGACCGTCGTGTCTGGGAGTGAAATAGATGAGATCGTCTCTTCTACTTCCTTTGATTCATTCTTGCATGTAATGGACCTGACGGACCTGACGGAGCGAGAGTTGGAGAAGAAACCCGGCGATTTTTTTGGGGGGCCAAGCGATCTAAGGCCACCATGGGGCAGTTTAGAGTGGATGTGGATGTGGGAGAGACTGATTTCTCTCGGGATTTCTTGTGGAGGGTTTGTTTTGCTCGACTCGCAGATGAGGTGGTTCAAAAGCCCAAGATGGAAGTTGCTTGGGCTGGCGGAATTGGCGTCACTGTAAATGGACAGTTTCAGCAAGTGGGCGTGTGCCTTGGCCTTGGATGCCTTGTGCCTTGATGTGGCCCTGGGATAGGACCGACTCGTTGAGGCGTTTGCAAGGGCCAAATGTTATACCATGACCCTTTAGGATGACTAGAGACCTCCAACAGGTGTGGTGGGAACTCGTTTTTTGGATGCCAAGATGTTCACATGTCCTCGCTTTTGGGGTCACAAGACATGCCACCAATGCAGATCTGAGCAGCGAGTTTTTTGAACCTGGAGACCCTGGAAGTGACCGACGTCTCCATGCGGGTTCATAGTATTCGGGGCAAGGGATAAGAGGTTGAGATTCTGAGTGGCACTCATAACCAGAGGTGGTTTCACCACAGGTGATTCTTGGCTTTGGAAAATGCTCTGACTGGTGAGCCAGTCCAGCAGTCTAAGAGGTTCTTTTCATGTGAGAATTCCTTAAAAGGATGCCCTGCACCCCATGGCTTAGGTCGCCATACGCTTCCCCGACCAACAAGAGACCCGAGTCTAACCCCAATCTCCGGAAGTCTACGCGTGCAGGAGGGTGGACGCCCTCCAACAAGATGAAAGTGAGAAGTCAACTTGTCAGGGTCACTTGTCCTGCTGGTCTTGACAAGATCCACGGGTATCACCTCCATTCCTGCCCGCATGTGAGCAAGGCGCCAGTTTTGCGCATGAGGTACAACGAGATGCCGAAGTATCAGCAAGAGAATGGTGAGTCGATCATCTACTTCCAAGATGGATGGAAGATCAATGTATCTGGGCGGCTGTTGGTGAACGGGGGCTGGCGCATGCTGAAAATTCAGACCTTTTGGGCTACCAGACCGCCACGTGTTCCGGGGGTCGGCACCGCACAATCATCGCAGTCCGGACTCCTGAGAAATGATATATACCAGGAGTCACAAAGGGGTGCCCAATGGAAGCCTATAGGTAGCGTGGGGTAGTCCATTATTGGACACCCCTTGGAGGGCCCTGGTATAGTTTCTTCTTGTGAAGAACTAGTAGCTTCTTGTGATGCCCGATAGCTGCTATCGTTGGGAAAGGGCCCGAGGATTCCGAGCTCTCACCTGCTGGGGGGGTTTGAGTCGACATGCTTTGAAATGGTCGCAAAGGGTAGAGCCAGCATCAGCAGACGCGAAGATGGAGGCAAGACACACCAAATAGAGCCTCTTAGAGACAGACAAACAGACACACACACAAACCTCAAAACCATCTCCCAGACACGACATTCCATGGGACTGGCACACTCGTCGCACCGGACACACTCGTCATTATCGGACTTAGCCGAACTCGCGACACACCGAAGAACACCACCGGTTCAGAATGCACCCCAGCCAACCATGTTTGGTCTTCTTTGGGGCACGCGGCCGCACCACAGAATGGCCCCCACGCTTGAATTCCAAAGGGGGTCGAAACCCAGGCCAAATCCCGTCCCGGACACAAAATCTCGATGGTCAGCCAGCGAGGAACTAAGAATGTCATTAGTTATATACACAATTGTCAATGTGTTGGCATGTAACGGCAGGCCGACATCGCCCAGCGCTTACCGGAGTCCCTCTCAGGAACACGCCGGCCCCGCTCCGCTCATGCTCACGTGTTCATCGTCCCAGACCGGGTCCGGCGGATTGATCATGTCACTGTTTTTCCTGTGCAGCGAGATTCGTTATGAACCAAAGAGCCGGTGTTAACATCCACTGCGCAAAGCAGTCCGTGAGAGCAAAGTCATCGGGTTTGGCTCAAGTCAAAGATCCAGAATAGCCGATGGTCCTGGTCATGTGTGGCTGGAATTCTGTGAGCTAGCTGACAGTCAGGGTGCAACAAGCAGTGATCCCCAAACCAGACCAAACCTCATCACAATTGACCAGTCAAATATACCAAATATATATTCAAATCTGTATAGATCCGTTGACCGTTCATACAACCAGCAGTGCTCCGGCGGCTTCAGGTGGAGGATGACACCAGTCGCTGGCTCTACGAGCATCACGCGTCGTCCTCACCGAAGGCTCCTTGTGGCCAGTGGTGACTGGGCATGTGGTGGTGCAGTGGGGTGGATAAGAGGGGGCGCGAATGGACAAAACAACTGGACTTTATATTCCCTTGCCCTTACTTGTTTTCAAACACCAGCACCCTCCCAGTCTAAATTAACATAAATAGGCGGTGATTGCATGTCGCAGGTTGCTGCAGGATTAAATGGTCTCCGACATTAGGCAAATGATAGGAGATTCACCTTCCTATCTGAGCCAACCTGAGTACACCCAATTCATCTCAACCAACGTGTAGGCTACAAGTGGTGGAAAACGAACAGTTGATCGTTCGTTGCCATTGCTGATTATTGACTGGCATGCGGCATGAGGTTCAAGTTGACTCACTCAATCATCCAACTTGCCGGACATGTTCACAGTCAATCTACAGCAGGTCATTTATTCGCGCGACCCGATGACTCCACAAAAGTTTGAACTGACTTCCCTCGGTGATTTTTTTGTCCTCGCCATCCGCCAGACCCATCTTGCTGAGATGGTCGTTCAACTTGTTCAACAATTTCAGACATCTTCAGGCCATGTCAGAGCCACCAACCAAGCATTGTTCGGCTCGGCTCGGCCACCACCGTTCGACCCTTTGGTCCTGGCGCCGTGTGCACCGACCCAATGGTGGCTAGGTGGTTTCAAATCTGTCCAAAAGCAAGAGGCAGGACGCTTCCCATCTTGATGCGGAGGAAGTGCTTCTACCCCCCACTTCAGATGACGAGGCGTTTCTGAAAAAATAACAAAAAAGATTCAGAAAAGATCCCTTGTTGTACTCCACACCTCGCACATGTCGTCACTAGGGAAAGTTACAGGATGTTCCTTCTGCTCAGAGAAATACTTTTAAACTTGCAACGAACGCAAGATGGATCAACCAAAAACGCGCACACACACGAATCATTTTCATACATGCAGATACTATACATGTGTGTCTTCACATGGGGCGCCGAACGAGGCTCCTGGCGGACTGCGCCACGCGCGCGGAGCCGGCGCCGTCGATCTGGGAGGTGCCCATCCAGGCAAAGTTGACCGGTGGATTTTTGGGGGCTGAAATTTCGGTGATATGTAACAAGAAGCTACTTTTAACAAAGGGCATCGCTAGTAGCAGCAAGCTACTAGTACCAGTACTAACAAGAAACTACTAGTAGGTTTCAAGAAAATGAACATCAAATGAAAATGGAACATTTAGGCGGCTATTTTGGAGTTGCAAATGGATTGTTTGTTGATTTTTTTGTGATGTTTCTGAGATTCTGTGAGTTTTTGAGACGTTTGACTATATACAAAATTATACTATACATTCAATTGCTGCATATTCGTTGGATCTTTTGGTCAATGCACTCGAAGCTCCTAAGTGTCGCCTCTCAGGCTTCAGTGACCACTGGTGCTCCACCAAAGGTGCCTTGGTGCGAGGGAGCTTTAACGGGTGGGAGGGTCGCAGTCAAAACCCCAACGTCAGTGGCAGTGGCTTTGGTGGCCCGCAAAAAGTCGGATTTGGACCAAACCACGCTGGGTGCCGAAGGTTTCTACCCAAAGACAGACACGTCTCAAGCGTGACGCGTCAGTGGTTCCATGGCTATCAACAAAAATGAAGTTCCTGAGAGTGTTCTGAATTCTTACACTGGCAGATGTGAAGGTACCATGATTTGGGGACTGCTTTTGAGCCGCCAGTGGGATGTTCGATCCAGAACAGACACCGTGTGCACGTGTTTTTTCCCTCTCATCCTCTCATCCAGGACCTCGACTCCAAAACTTCTAGCCCAGGACATATGGTAACATGTGAAGAGCTTCTTCATCGACTTTCCAGAATGAAGAAACACACCGGCACGTTTTTTTTTTTTCTGTTTTCTCATGTTTTCTCTACGTCGACACATGCTTCAGATGTTCGACAGGCACCGCAACCTATCACAACCTATCATGCTGTCAGTTTTGTTACTAGTAGCTTCTTGCTCCTAGTAGTAAGGTCAGGAGCCCCTAGTAGCGTCCTTGCTCCGTTCGTAGCGATGCCAGGAGCCCCTAGTAGTAAACATGGTTCCTAGTAAATGGGTTGCGTCGATTTCCCCAAACCAATGATCTGTGCTGTGCCAAGTTCGCAAAAATTCAGATGTTGCACTGACGCCCAGCAAACGCCGTGATCAACGGGTGGAGACCTGGCTCCACAATTGGTTTGACTTGGTTTGGTTGGTGTCAAATCCTGCTTTGGGTTGGTGGATTTTCTGGAACAGTTCACCAGCTCTAAGATGGTGGCAAGGCGATTCCATCCAAACAGCTGGTCATCACTGAAGTGAGTCATCACTGGGAGGTCGAGGCTTGGTCCCGTGTTTGAACCCAAACCTGTTCCAGAACCACGTCGTTTGAAGCCTCACGGCCAAGGGGCTTCGTTCGGTCTCTGGTGGCGCTTCCCCTTCTTGAAGGTTCCACTACCTCAATGTACAAGCAAATCGTTGGAATACCTCGTGGTAAGTCGCTTGGTGATGTTGTCTCTGGGGAAGAACACGCCGTTGTCCTAGTTATTCTCCCTACGCACCGATGATGACAGTAAAAGCGGCGGAACGAGCCTCACCTGGCGGGTCCCAGGTCAGCCAGAAGGCCTTGGACGTCTTGTTGCTGTCGGCCTTAGACGGGCATCCCTCCGCCTCGCGAGCCACCCGCCACTTGTCGACAGGTTTGGCAGCCGTGACGATGGGGTTTGGGAGAGAAAAGGGAGAAGACGGAGAGAAACGGGAGCCAAAATGGGACTGTTTGGAACCAAAATGGAGCGAAGTAGACGGATGTTTGTTGGTGCTGCGGATGCTGCGCCACATATAGTGTTGATAAGGCATGTCTTCAGTCGAACGCAGTGACACTCGCGGCATCACTAACCTTAGGAGCTTCGTCCTGACCTTTCCACCTGTCCCAACCTGTCGACTGACCACATGCACAGGGACCCCTCCGTTTTGCCCTCTATACACCTCTCCAGCCATATCTCGAAACGGCATCACTATCGACACTCAGGACGGATATATAGTGAGGAAAAGTCTCCTATGTCACAAAGAACATAATGCACCTAATTTCCACAGTAGCAATCCAGATTAAAATCCCACGATTTGAGGGTTCGCGCACCCCCGTCCAACAACTTCAAGGCGAAAGCTCGCAGCTCTTCTTTGGAAAAGAAAGGGCGAGCGCCCCAAATCACCCCTCTCGGTAGTGCCCACCCGCACGGGTGGCTGTCGTCTCTGCTGTGGACACCCGGCAATAGTGTTTGCGAATCAACAGAGAAAATGATGTCGCACCATCGCTTCAGCACACGTACAAGTTGGCCAAAAGTGGTTTTGGGTTCAACGCAAGAAAGAGTGTATTTCCGATACGCAAACAGATGGCACAATTCAACATAGGCAATGGAAACCTCTCGGTGAATATGCCATTGCAGTGATAGAAGGAAGTCACAGAAAATGCGGCCGTCCTCACCTGTACAAACTTTCGCAGGGGCAGTCAACGAAGCTTCGTGTGCATACACGGTTTCCAATTGAATTGGGTCAAGGCAGGTTCCCAGTTCCAATCCGGAAAGCGAAAATACGTCGTCAACCGGGACAGGGTTCAGCATCTTCTTTAGTGCCAAAACACTGCTTTACGACACCGTCAAAGCCAATCAACCTGTTGATCTCAACAAGTGCAGTTTGCCTCACTAGTGCCGCCTGCTGCGCTTGGGACCAAACTTGGGGATGAACAGGGGCGTTTTGGTTGGCAATGTGCTTGGCCTTTTCATCAGCGAGTCTGTCGCAGCGTAAGTATTGGCAAGGCCATCCAATGTGAGATGCAGCAGCTGGTGTCAACTCAGGCCATGGAACGTGATCACTCAAATGCGCCGGCATCCAAAGAACCTGGAACGGATTTTCACAAACACGGGTGTGAGATTGTACTGCCTCCAAAATGCAAAGCCACCACTGCCTATGGCTCCAATGCATGGGAACAATTCTTGTGGACATTAGCTCCGCAAACATAATATTGACAATTGTTTTGCAATCCGTCACAACCTGAAGGCGTCTCGGTGCAATGGTCAGCGCAGTCATAAATGCAATCAATTCAGCAGCATATGCAGAGAGTGCCGGGTGACATACCGGACCCGCTGCCACACATTGCTCTTCTTGGTTAAAGATAGCAAAAGCTGCAGTTGTTAGCCAAAATGACTCCTGGATGGAAGACAGCTGAACCGTCTGTCCACCATGTAATTGGAGGCAAACACCATCAAAGTCAGCACCGGACAAGCTGGGCTTGGAAGACAAACGTAAGCGATGGTTGACCACCGCAGCTGGATGCTCAACTATACCCAGGCCTGGAAAGTTGGGGCCCGGATCATGCTTGGGAAGTTCCTTAATGTAGCTTGGAGCGTGAGCACATTCATTCACGATGTGCACGAGGGATTCCTTAGCACCATCACAAAAGCGGCACGCAGCGGAGTCCGTGTACCCTGCAGCAGCTCTTCTGTCGTTTGTTATTGTACACCCAACAATTTGAGCATCAAAATGCGGCAACAAAAGTTTGGCATTGGGTGACTTCCTGTGTTTCTGTCGAAACATCCTCTATTCTTGTTGGTGAGAGTGGCAGCACGAACTGTTGCAGAATCCAGCCTTTTCCAACCCTGCCGGGTGGAGCCTTGCCATTCAGCAGCAGTTTTTCCTGGTCTACATGTCATATCATGTCATCCAACAAACAAGGAAGTGGACAAGTGCCTGTTTGTTCTTCGGACAGTTGTCTTCCAGCATCTTCCAACCTGCCACACCAATCCTTCCATGATGAACACAAGGTGCCCATTTCTATGACATGCGCTAGAAGGGATGACTTGATCACCCCGAGTAAGCTTCTGGTTTTTCCCCAGTGAAATGACCATGCAAATTGTACAACCACGGCGAATGCGATGAATTCTGGGCCTATACAGGCCGCCACTCGAATTCATCCCTTTTCCAATGGTTGATCGAGATTGGAAATAGAAAGGATGATAGAGTGAAGGCCATCGCCATTAGGTTGGAGGCCTTCCTGTCTCGAGGTGCTTTGCGCCTGGCTTTGCCCTGCTTCGCTCAGCTCTGCGCCCAAGTCGCTCCGCCCGCACAGCGAAGCGGCGCACACAAAAACGGCCGCCCATCGCAGCGGCCGCGGCCCACGCAGCGGCTGGCGCGGGCGAGTGTGGCACGTGATACTTTGGAGGTTTTGGCAGAGTGACTTGGGCTGATAACAAGCATGAAAGCTGGAGGCAGGGGTGGGGAGGGGTCGAGTTGCACGGTCGAACACCTCAGTTTTCCCTCAAGATGTCTCTAGACCTGCAAAGAGGAGTCGCCAGTGATTGCCAGGGTTCCCCAGTGTTCCCAGTGGGATCAAACAACTCAAAGGTTCCTAATAATACAACATCACCTATTTTTTCTCGGGGCGCTTGCGCCACACCATTTCTACAGTGGTCACATGTCATGTGGTCACTGTAGATCATTCGAATGGGATCAAGACGAGTTAGTCAAGTCTGCTGGTTTTGACAGGGACTCCACGGACCGGCTTATGCTTGCACAAGCCGTCCATCCACCGGAAGAGAAGCAGTTCGTTTGGGCCCGAAAGTCGAAGGTTGGCAGCCATGATGTCAATGTATTTGGGCCCGAGGGATATATACTGACTGTACCTATAAATATATTAGTATTAGTATCAATATAGATTATTTCTATATACAAAAAACATACGTACTCTATACATACATGGATACAAGAACTCAACAGAGACTCCATGAGCACGGTCACAGTTGCCCAAAACAACATACAGCAACCACTATTTGTAAAGTATTTTTTTTCAAAATGGCTGAGAGATTACCCTCCCTCCAACAAACATGGAAGTGGACAACTCCCTGCTTGTAAAAGAAAGTCGCCTTCCCAGTCGCCATGTTCCACTTCCATGATTGTTTCAGGGATTGAGGGTTGTTGATTTGGAGCATTTTGGAGCGCCACATTGCGCGTCTTGAGCTTCAGGTTGCTCAGGACCAAGCCGCTGTGTCGTTGGATGATTTTGTTGAGTCCTTGACATGACTTTCCTTGATTGCAACTGGATTTGTAGTGACATGAGACAGTGCAAGAATTTGCTGGTGGCTGCTGGTGGCAAAAAAAGGAAGCGTTTCTTTTCAAGTTGCAAACAGCTGCGATTCCGTTCTTCAACCAAACAGCTGCGACACCCCAGGAGTGAAAAAGGCCCAAGGAGTGAAGGTGCTTCAGGATTTGCTTCATGGTCAGGTCTTAAATATTCTTAAATGGTCTTCATGGCTACCTATGTTATGACCTTATGTGCTGGACGTTCTTGTGCCGGACAAAAAAAAAGCGTGCCGGACACGAACGTCATCCGAAGACGAGGTATGCTGAAACAGATGAGTCAGTGATAGGCAGGTGGATCGGTCGATAGCGGAACTGACGTCGGTGTAGCGGACATCAGAATCTCTGGTCACTGTGGTCTGATGACGAGCATGACCTACCACCAGATGACCCACAGAACTTATAGTCGTCGACCTATATCTGAATATATATCTGAATATACGTTCTTTTCAACAACGCGATGTTTGGCATATAAGGAGTCGACTATTCATGAATATTAAAAAAAATAACTGCGAGTTTGCATCTTCAAATGGAACATGGTCTGCTGGACATGTTGCTTTCTCGCATCTGGAGGCAGATCATGTGCGACGTTGATGCCTAATTAAAAAAGACACCTGATTTGTGGGTGGTTGCATGAGAATAACCTAAAAGGACCTGACATCCGACGTTGATGACGCTTCGCATTCCTTGAGCGCACCGGATTATGGTCTTGTTCTATTTCCGAGCAGACTGAGGACAGCTGTTGAGCCACACTCTCAAAGACTGAAAGACTATAAACAAGATTTTAACAGATTTAAGACTTGGATGACTGGATGGCCCAAACACCCTGGAGCACTCTGAGATTGATTCACGTTTGTTGAAATCTGCCATCTTACGACCTCACTGTAGATAGATACAGAAAACGGGCAGGTGTGGACAGCCACAAGCTGATTGTCTTCGATGGTTTACCCTTCCTGGTGCACCAGAAGCGCTACCCTGAGCTGGATGCACTCATCGTGGATACCTCGAGAACGCCCCGAACGGTCGCGCACGAGACGCACGAGAGCGATACAGTGGGCGAGGCACGGTTGGGTGGGGGGCTGGGGTGAGCGCCAGGTGAGCGAGGCTGGATTCTTAGAGTGTTTTGCTCGGGGGCCACTGAGCTGAGCTGGTCAATTTGGATGGTTCTTGGAGAACATTGGAGGATTCATGAGATGGTTCGTGCCATTCTTCATCACCTCTATAGTTTAAGAGGAATGTATTTGGACTATCTCTGGTCGGTCTGATGCCCTACTCCCAGTGGTGTTTCTGGTGCTTTTTTCCAGCTCGCCGTTTCATATCTCAGACCTTCCAGTCAGAAGGTCCTGTATATATATATGTATATATACACATTTTTTGAAACACCTCGTCTGAGATCATATCCCTCTATTTCTTCTTGAAACATCTTGAAACCTCTTTGGCCTCCCACTCCGAACTTGATGGACGCTCACGCTCCAGAAATCGTAAACGTGTCACTCCAAAAGCTCCGGTTCCTCACCTGTCCCAAGGCCGGACGCGTTCCCCACCGGCTCCGAACCCGGCTCCGCACTGGTGCCCCGCCTCTCTGCCCTCCCGCGCGGCTCCGACCGGTTTCGCTCGGACCGACCGAGGTCGTGTCCTATCGCTCGGACGAGAGTCCCGTGCTGCTGCTGGGCGCTCGGGCGCCCTTTCGTGTGAGGCCGACCGAGACCATCCAGGTGAGCGGGGCGGGGCGCTCGGTACGGCACGGTGACGGCGTTCAAGAAGCTGAAGGGGTGAATGTGTGGCGCTTCTTGCACAGGTGTGGAGCAGATCGTGTTCCTTTGGTGTTCTCTGACCACTCCAGAAATGAACATTCAAATCCCCACAGTATTCATTCTATACAGCATCCTTTCAAGCAATCAGATCTCCGGCTTGCAGGTGTGTTGCCGCTTTCCCACTAGCCTGATGAAGACCATCAAGGAGGACCAGACAGCAGTCAGCAGTTTTGTGCTTCAAAATGCACTCCATGCAAGCACATTCCAAGACTTGTCACGAAAGCTAGCGAAGCTAGCTGGAGTTACTCTTGCGATAGCAAGGTTTCTTTCGACCGGGTGCAAATCCTAACCCCTGATTTTTCAGGTCGAAGACCCCCCCCCCACCCC